CTTCTTTCTCTGCTTTCTGAATAAAGTCAGCTGTCCCTTCAGATGCATAGGTGCTTGAAGAATAAATAATCCCCACCCATCGCCAGTTGAAGTATTTCATGAGCTGGATCAAAGCAATGATTTGGAAATGGTCACTTGGAACCGTTCTGAAAAATGTAGGGTACCGCTTCTTGTCACTCAAACAGGCACAGGTAGACAGGTGGCTCAGCTTAGAAAAAAAGAAAAAAAAGACATACAAAAGTAAAAAAAATGTAGACATTTTGAAAAAAAGGCTTAAAATCTTAAAAATCTGTACCTGTGGAAATAATAAAGAGAGACTATATAAGATAAATAAATATGACACTGGTTATATTGTGAAAAAGCAAGATATGATAAATGAATATTCCTTACCTGTGGAATTGACATTGCACTGAGTATTTTGTTTATGTCATCAGATACTCCCGATGATGAATGACCCAAAACAGCCAGAGTCTGACTGTGACAACCTCGTGGATCATTTCCATTTACAGCTTCTATAGCAGCTCGAAGCAGATTTTCAGTCCCACAGCCGTTGAACACCCTGTATCCCAGACTCACACCAGGTAGGAGCTCATTATCTCTGTTGATCTCCTCCACAGTAAACATCATTGTCCTGGCAAACTTAAGTTCCCTGGGATTCCATCTAACGACCATAGTGCAAAAGTATTGAAAAAGTCACTTAAACATAAAATCACATCTCTCAGTTCAACATAGAAAGCAACTCTGTGTAATTTGTATTCATGTACATAACCATTTAAAAAAATACTGGATATTTCTTAAAGTTCACTCACCTTTTGCAGTATGTATATGGCAATGCCTGATAATCATTATCAACCAGTGTCATTGAACTTTCTATGGAGAAAACACCTCCTATGAAAAAATCACCTTCTTTAAAAAATTCCATAAACCCTGACTGCCCTATCATTTTGCATGTTTCGTTTTCCGACTTAGTCCTTGCCAGTAGAGTTAATAAGATAATGCAAATCCAGCCCATTTTGAAGCACCCTTCCCCCTTACTGAAGTACTGTCATCAAAAAGCTTTCCTTTATAGTTTTTTTTTCCTGCAATGGGGGTTGTCCTTCTGCAAAGTGAATGCATGCAGAATCCTCGAGAGATTACTTTTCATTTCTTGCATCAGGGGCAAAACTTCCTTACTGACATGATAAAATCTTTTTTAGTCTTTATTTGTGGACTACAAGGTAGTTTTTGTATGAATGTTGAGCAAAAAAAGCCATGGTATTTGTTAGTTCTCAGCCACTAAGCTACAAAGTGGCCCACTCATTAGTATGTCATTTCTATGTAGAGTTTGCATGTTCTCCCTGTGTCTCCATGGTTTCTGTCCAGGTACTCTGTCTTCCTCACTGTCCAAAAAATATGCATAAATAAAACGCTGCGTTTTTAATTTAGATTCTGGACATGCCTTGGATCAATTTCTTGGTGCAGTTAGAAATTGTTTGTGAATGATCACAGCAAGAGGGTTTGTGGTTTCTCACACAATGACCGCTGAAATGAGCTCCAGCCCTACAGGACCACATTTAGAGTAAGAAGGCACAGAATATTGATTAATTTGTTGCCTTTTATAAACAAATAAAGCAAGTGTATTTCATTTGATTATTTTGTCCCTAATGCTGATTTAGTCCACTTATGGGCTGAAGGAAATTACATGGAATACAATACTCCATTCTATGGTCATTTTTAGTAAGGATTAGGCCTGTTATTAGACATAGACATAGACATAGACAACTTTACTGTCATTTTGTGTGTACGGAGTGCACACAAAACGAAATTTCATTTGCATACAGCTTTAGACAAGAAAAGGATTCAATAATTTAGAAGTCTAATGGCAACAGGGAAAAAGCTGTTGTATAGCCTTGTGGACCTGCAGCGGATGCTGCGGAACCTCTTCCCAGAGGGCAACAGGGAGAACACATCATGGTGGGGGTGTGAGGGGTCTGTGATGATTTTACGGGCTCTGGACACGCAGCGCTGGGGTGAGATGTCCTCAATGGAGGGAAGAGGAGCCCCGATAATCTTCTCTGCTGTCCTCACCACCCTCTTCACGTTCCTCCAGTCGGAGGCACTGCAGCCTCCACCCCACACAGAGAGACAGCTGGTCAAAATGCTCTCTATGGTGCTTCTGTAGAAGGTCGTGAGGATGGGCGGGGGCAGGTGGGCTCTTCTCATCCTTCTCAGAAAGTACAAGCGCTTCTGTGCCCTCTTCACCAGGGATGTGGTGTTCACAGACCAGGTGAGGTTGTCTGTGATGTGCACCCCCAGGAATTTGGTGCTGCTGACCACCTCCACAGCTGAGCTGTTGATGAACAGTGGAGCATGATGAGGCCGGTACTTCCTGAAGTCAACGATGATCTCTTTCGTCTTCTCCACGTTCAGTATCAGGCTGTTGTTTCTGCACCAGCCCACCAGCTGCTCCACCTCCTCTCTGTAGTCCCGGTCATTGTCGTCTCTGATCAGGCCCACCACCGTTGTGTCGTCTGCAAACTTCACGATGTGATTGGTGGTGAACCTGGGGGCGCAGTCATGTGTCATCAGAGTGAACAGCAGGGGGCTCAGGACGCAGCCCTGAGGGGAGCCCGTGCTGAGGGTGATGACATCAGATGTTTTTTGTCCGACCCGGACTGACTGAGGTCTGTTGGTGAGGAAGTCTAGTAGCCAGTTGCGAAGAGGTGTGCTAAAGCCTAGGTGTACCAGTTTTTCCACCAGATGCTGTGGGATGATGGTGTTGAACGCTGAACTGAAGTCCAGGAACAGCATCCGCACGTGGGTGTTCTTTTCCTCCAAGTGTGTCAGGCTCAGGTGAAGAGCGGAGGAGATGGCGTCCTCAGTGGAGCGGTTTCGCCGGTAGGCAAACTGGAATGGGTCAAATGTTGGGGGGAGACTGGAAAGGATGTGATCTTTCACGAGCCTTTCAAAGCACTTCATGATGATGGGAGTCAGTGCAACGGGCCGGTAGTCATTGAAACAGGTGACTTGAGGTTTCTTTGGCAGACTTAAAGCATGCTGGCACTGTGGCCTGGTCCAGCGAGGTGTTAAAAATGTCTGTGAGGACACCAGCTAGCTGACCTGCACACTCCTTGAGCACCCGCCCAGGTATGTTGTCGGGACCTGGGGCCTTCCGCGGGTTGACTCTTCTCAGAGTTTTCCACACGTCGGCTGTGTCAAGGCAGAGTGCCTCCTCTTCCTGATGGGGAACAGCCTTCATTGCTGGAGTGCTGTTTAGTGCCTCAAACCTCCCGAAGAAGTTATTTAGTCCATTGAGGAAGTCAGCATCAACTTCACCCACCGGGGGGGAGGGCGTGTTGTAATCAGTGATCGCCCGTATGCCTTGCCACATGCGTCTGGTGTTACTGGCGTCGTGGAAAAGATCCTGGATTTTTTTACTGTGGGTCCGCTTCGCTAACCTGATCACACGGTTCAAGTTGGCTCTCGCTGTTCTCAGAGCCTCCTTGTCACCGGACTTGAAGGCTGAGTTCCGTGCTTTTAGCGCTTGGCGAACCTCCCCAGTCATCCAGGGTCGTTGGTTGGCTCGGGTGATGATGTTCTTTGTGGTGCTGACGTCCTCGATGCACTTGTTGATGTAGGCTGACACAGTCATAGCATACTCATCAAGGTTTATCATGTTGTCATATGTTGCTGCAGCTTTGAACATGTCCCAGTCAGAGCACTCAAAACAGTCCTGGAGTGCCTCCATGGCCCCATCAGTCCACACCCTCACCTGCCTCACTGTAGGTTTAGCTCTGATCAGCAGGGGCCTGTATGTAGGAATTAGCATTACAGAGAGGTGGTCTGAAGAGCCGAGGTGGGGGCGTGGGGCTGCTCTGAATGCGTCTTTTATATTTGTATAAACCAAGTCTAGAGTGTTCTCTCCTCGAGTTGCAAAATCCACGTGTTGGTAGAAATGAGGGAGAACAGTTTTCATACTGGCCTGGTTAAAGTCCCCTGCAATGATGAAAACACCCTCAGTGTGTGCAGATTGCAGCTCGGAGATGGTCCGATAGAGAACACTCATAGCCTCTTTAGTATTAGCGCTGGGAGGCACATACACAGCAGTGATGCTGACAACAGTAAACTCTCTTGGCAGGTAGAAGGGTCTGCGGTTAACTGTCAAAAGCTCTATGTCCGGAGAGCAGTGGCTGGCGACTGATCTAGCATTTTTACACCAGTTGTTGTTTATGTAAACACACAGCCCGCCCCCTCGGGACTTGCCGCTAAGACAGCTGTTTCTGTCTGCACGGAAAGTAGTGAGCCCCTCCAGTCTAACGGCGTTATCCGGAATTGATGAATTAAGCCATGTCTCTGTCAGGATGAGAGCACAACAGTTTCCAAGTTCCCTCTTTGAAGAAAGCTCAAGTTGTAAGTGGTCAATTTTGTTGTCCAGTGAGCGGACGTTGGAGAGCAGGATGGATGGAAGCGGCGTTCTGTAGGGGTTAGCTTTTAGTTTAGTTGTTAATCCACCGCGACAGCCGCGCTTCCGTCGACGGTCACACCGCTTGCTCCTCCTCCGGCGTGTGGTACTCCACGAGTTGTGGGCCTCTGGGATTTGTGATCGAAGCAGTCCGAAGTCGCGTAAACAATCAAGCGTAGCTGTAGTTACGAGTCCAAAAACACTGTATGACCGTAACTCCAGCAGCCGTTGGTGGTCAAGTACTGATCTACCGGGTCGATGAGTGGGTTGTAGTATGTTTTGAGGCATATTTTTGTTAAAAAAATAATAATATGATAGAAAATAATGATAATTAGTAATAAAAATAATAAAAATAATAAAAAATAAGTAGGCTAATAATTAAAAAAAATTAGAAAATGCCGCAAGTTGTCAGGAGCTGTATACAGCCGCAGCCTCTCAGGGCGCTGCCATGGTAAGGACCATTATTCTTGTGCAACTATTGCCCTTTTCCTTATCGGTTTGTCTCCTCCTGGTGTGTGTGCATGTGTGGTACCCTCGGCATGCCCTCATCTTTTCTTATATTTTTTTCTGGTGCAGCTGTTCTCCATCACTTCATCACCTGAGTCCCTTGGATTTAATAATTTAGCATTCACTGCATAGACAACTTTGACTATAGAATAGTCTCGATTCCTGTCCAGAGAAATTCCTCATCCAAACGCGTATTTGGTTTGGCCTGCAGAAAGAGTAATGCTTATAAACAGCACACTGGTAACCATAAACTCAATCGTCTTCAAGAGGCCTCCTTCAAGATTCCTACCTGATTCCCACCTCTCCTTTATCTTTGTTTTGTTTTTGCGTGGGATCATGCTTCCTACCACATAGCAAAAAAAGATTAAAAAGTATTTTTTCTCTTGAAATGACAACTTTGTAAAAAATATGCACTCATTCTTGCATGACTGACCTATAGACCACCATAGACTAAAAGGGTCGCCTTCACTAATTTGTAAATAATATCTCTATTGTGAAGGCACTGTAAAAATCCCATGTTTAATTTAATGCTATTGCGAAAGGATTTTCTACAAGTGTTGTTTTTCAATGTGTTTTAATGCTTTTTTCTCTACAACTCTCGGCAGGTATGATTTGATGCATAACATTGCACATTACACAAAAAAATGTAGTACTCAAAAAGACAAACTCATGCCACCTCTATATTTATGAATCTAGTACCGATTTGCATATATAAGTTATTAGCAAGTATTGAATTAGAACTATAGAAATAAATTGATAAAATATTGTTTTTGGATCCATAATAATATTCCTGGTCCAGGATCGGGGGAAAAAAATTGTGCTTTACCTCAAAAGCTAAATTTGTTCATTTTCTGAGCTCACTTTTTTCTCATTTATTTAACACACTTTTTACATTTAGGGGTAAAATGAAAGGAAAACTGATTGCATTTGAAATCCATGCTTGCATGAAAATATCATTTCAAATATTTACAAGGATAACTGAAAGGTACATCAAAACTGACCTGATAATCTTAAATAACATACACATAGACAGTAAGTAACCTTTAACTTTGCAGGTATGTTAC